TGTAATGTTTCCAACCACAAATACAAAGATCAGATTTGTAAAGATACTGGTAATAAAAGGCAATAATATTGAAAAGAAAAAGGTATTTGACTTATGTCAGAACGAACTTTCGATGGAGTTGTTGGAACAGAACCCTGTTGTAAGTTGGGGACCACATGTAAATGTTTTGATTCACAATTAATGATAAATTGAATGGAGATATGTGCACTGTTTCCATATGACAGGGAACTAGATTTGCTAAGCTAATAGGACAGGAATGTTTGTTAATTTTCCTCCCATTTTAATGATTTGAAACAAATTTTTCAAGCAACGTGGATGATCCCATGCGTTTTCAAACAATAGTTTAATTACACATTGTTGTTTTTATAAATTGGGCCCCTCAAATACTTCTTCTGGTCTCATAATTTTTTTAACCTATTTCAATTCTCATTGGAAGTAATAAAATTCTATTTGTAATTTTTAAATTTTGTTCACTTATATTGACTTGCATTCAATTAACCTGAATTCCCCAACCCATGATGGGGGTAGCACAGAACTGGACAGCGTTTTGTTCCGTTGTGCATGGGGTTGCTGTGAGTTGGGGGCCGACTTGATGGCAGCTGACAACAACAACTTTAGTTGTATATATTTTGAAGATACTTCAAAAGCTTTGACATTAATATTGTGTAATATTCTGTTTTTCATGATGGGAAAACATTTCTTTAGGCCAAAGGAAGTTGAGACCCCGAACTACATAGATATTCAGTGTGTTGTTATTATTTAGTTGAAGATTTATCTTTTCACTTGTCTGTTTAAGAGTTCAGTTCTTTCCAGGACCGTAGAATATATCTTCTAACCCCTTTTTGGTCATATGAGTGACTGCTTGCTAATTTGGTTGGTAAGCATGCTCAACAAATGTTGCAGTTGTGAATGTTGCAAATACAGTTTCCTTAATGAGGTATAAAGGAGATAGCTGAAAAAAGAGTAGAAGTACTCTGGTCAGAGTAGAATATTGTAATTTAAGATTTTGGGCTTATGATGGAGCCTCGGGAGGTAGATGGCTGAAACTGAGGCACAGTAGAGGTACTCAAGAGCAATGAGACTGATGTGTTGGGTGAATCACTCACCTAGGCATCGAACGCAGATGACTGTGGTATCTAGAGTGAGAGGTACACTATGATCCTAGTTTCTGAGGTTTTAGATTGCCTGCGGGGTGATGAGTATATACATGAGAGCTGAAGATACTTGGATCTCATGCCATTAAAAGTATGGGGGTAAATGGTATGGAAGCATTCTTCTGGACCTTAGAGCTTAGAAGGATGATTAACCTCCACTGGAATGGGCTGCCAAAGAAGAGGAGTCTAGTTTCCATTGTTGTTGTTAGGTGCCATCGAGTTGGTCCCGACTCATAGTGACCCTTTGTACAACAGAA